TTTTTTTACGCCCAGAACTCCGAACACGTCGGTGTTTCTAGGGTATCTATTGGGTAGGGGAGGAGAGGAGGATTGGGTAGGGTGAGGGTACGCCGCGAGACGCGCGGCGCGATATCGGACGGAGGGTGGAGGGAGGTGCCGCCGCGAATATCTCGCAGGCATACGTCCAAATGGACTGCACGCAGGCGGTGAATATGCGGCATTTGAGGGCAGGATGGAGTTCGGGAGCTCAAAGGAGTGGGCGTAGGAGGGTGGTTCGGGCAGCGGAGGCCGCTGTCAATCATCACACCAAGATACTTCGCCGTCTTTTGCCAGGGTAGATGCGTGCCTACCAAGCTCACGACTTCATCAGGGTCGGCCCTCTGTCGAGTGAAGTTGACGGCTACGCAATTGTCAGAGTTGAGGGCGAGCTTTTCATGGTTTAGCCAATTGGGAAGTTCGGCGAGACAATCATTCAGATATCTCACTGATTTCCTTTTGTCCGCCGACTTCGCTTAGTAAGCGAAATCGTCCGCGAACATTGTTCGGCGAATGCTGAATATGCGGAGCCTCCTATTTTCGTGAACAAGAGCGACTTTTTGACAATTCGCCTTCGGCCATACTTCCGGCAAGACTGTCTACGGAGTCTACGCGAGAGGTACTGTTGGGTATTAGGAGAAAAGAGTCTAAGTAGATGGTAGACCAACATTAATGGTATTTCAAACATATATTATAGGCAAGACTGTCTACGGAGTCTACGCGAGAGGTACTGTTGGGTATTAGGAGAAAACAGTCTAAGTAGATGGTAGACCAACATTAATGGTATTTCAAACATAACGAACGACACAGTAGGCCCGCCGAGGGCGAGACCATAGACCGTCTTGTCCTGTATGGTACTGAATTTCAATTTAAATTTCTCTAATAAAGAACCGTAAATGATCTATTTTCAATGAACCGATTGTTAAATGACACCAGTTCCTTTAGTAAGGTATTTTTTTAAGATAAGGTGACCATGTTAGGAAGGTTTATTCCAAAATGGGTCGAACTAGTGTTTTGTGTAGAAAGATGTAGGTACAGCGATTATGAAAATCCATGCAGTTCCTGCTAATGTAACGAAGCATCTTGAATGTTGTGTGTACTATATTGTCAATATGCAAAGAGGAATGTCACTACAGGAATAATAAGTAACACCAAGATCTCAGATAAAATCTACAGAGGAGATAGCACCATCAGAGAAATGGTAATGGAAAATAACGGGATTAAATGCAAACCCATTTGCAGGCATCATGTCTCAACCCTGTCCAAATCTTCCTGAAAATGTATGGCGTCTGATGTAGCTTAAAAAATTGAGCATCATCTGCAAATACTAAGATTTTACAGTGGAGTTAATTTCCGTCAATGACGTTAAAAAATATCAATGAGAAGAGGTCTGAGGTGTACATGGTGGCCATACTTCCGGCAATAACACATACTCTAGACCTGGCACTACAATAGGAAACATTATGAACCCTTTGCATCAGGTAAGAATTAAACCAATTTACAATTCATTGTGAAATTCCACATCAACATACTTTGTCAAGGAAGACAGCACGATTAACCCTATCAAATGCTTCAGCAAAGTCGGTGTAGATAAAACATAATTAATTTATATTTATATATATTATTAATATATATTAATATATATTATATAAATAATAACATGATTAATTACATTTGTCAAGTTTTTCCCCAATTTATTGGTATTTGATGATAAGTACAGAGATTAGTTATTTAATAACTTTACATATGTACTGATTTCTTAAATGTTGCATTCTCGAATACTGAATATGTGGAGCCTTCTATTCTTATGAACAGGAGTAAGTAACTTTTCGACGGTTTGCTTTCGGCGATACGGCAAGACTGTCTATCCGAGCGCAAGCTGGAGCTAGCGATTACCTGAGAACGTGCCACCGTGGCACTCTATTTCATAGACATCACGAAGGCATTTGACTGAATGTGCATCAACCTCTGAAGTACAAACTAATCAAAATTGGTAGACCACATTTCATATTCTCAAAAATAAATAGTATTCTTGACAATAGAACATTTTCGGTAAATGTAAACAACTTCACGCCATATGTATATACAGGTATCTACCAATTATGGGCCACCTCCCGATTGCAATCCCAGCTCGCTACACACTGAGCTACTTCACTCACACTCCTTATTTTTCAATCAGATAAAGTAGTCATAAGTTGACAAAAAAACACTTTTTCTTAGTAGATGGGTGTGGGTGGTTGGATGGGGGCTAAGAAATCTTTTAAAAATCTTATTTTTATGTTAGTGTTATTGTGTAACTACTCATATGCCCGTTGGTTTAGGGGAACTGCTTACTATCTTCCTTGGGGTACCCCTTAGAAATAATGCGAGAAAGTACTGCTCAAGATTCACTAGTTCTTAAAAGCAAGAATTTTTTTGTAGGCAGTAAAACTGATGAAGTTGGAAACTAGAAGTACTGATTTAGTTTTGGAACAACTTTTAGTTCTTTAATGTGAGTTACCTTCTCCACACAAGGAGTATTGATGTTGAAAATTGATACTGAAGGGAAATATACTGTTTGACAAGGCTAAAAGAGAAAGTTGAAACAATTTGTAATGCAATATTTCTAAATAGGATCACAAAATTAATCAGAAGTCATGTAAGCCTAATTCATTCTTGATACAATTCGACTTTTGCTGTGACAAGCTGGTGATTCTGATTTTGGTTAATTGTTCTACTACTATCACATTTCATGGGACAGTGGTCAACAAAATAATAAATGTTTCAAGCTTGTGAAAGGGAGAGAATTGTACTATGTAATGACAGTTAACTAGTATTTTAAATCTTCTTATAATATTTTAAGGTCTGTTTCACTGAAATAAAATTTTGGTAATATAGTAATGCGATTTAAACTACAAAAGTATCCCATAAAGTAGAAGACTTTAGGTTCAGAAAATTGAAGAGTTTAGTATATTTTATTTCTATCAGATTCTATTGATTCACTTTACATGTAGGATTTAGGAAAGGATGGTTTATTTATGCAGATGAAAGAAAATATAACACTGGCAACAATCGATGTTAACATGAAATTACTTTAATTTTCACATTTTACATATATTTATATATA